TTGAATATCCACCCAGAACTAGGGGAGCTATAAAAGTATTCTTATGACCTTGGCAAGAAAGAAAACATTTTACAGCTCATAGCCTGAAGCTGCATGAGTCTGACTACAGGGGGCAGAGGATTAATATTACTGCTCCACTAACGGTCAGTGGCCAGGGTGGCAGAAATTAGCAAAATGTGACTAAAGCAAGGGACAAGACAAAAAAAAAATAAAAAATGGAAAAGTCAAGCAACGACACTTGTAAGGCAACTAAAGACTAAAACCCACATCCTAGTCCTTGACCCTGATTTTGCCTTTAGGCAATTCCCATTTGCCCCGATTGTGAGCTGTTTTCCACCATTTTGGCACTACCAGTCTTCAACCAGGAGTTAATGAGGCTTGGGAGGAAAAAGAAATGGAAAGAAATTTAAGATAAAAGAGGAGAAGGAGAAGGGAGGGGAACCAGCGAGCCGTGTTACCCCTCCCTTCGCACGTTGGCTTCAACAGAGAGAGTTATATTAGAAGACGATCTTGTAGTTTGCACATGTGCAGTTTTAGCTGTTTTAACATATTCAAAATGTATATTTGTAATAAATATAATACAAATAAACAACCACAGCCAACGTGTAACGTTGCCAAGAGGGGGATGGCGCATGATTGTCTACATGTATAATCTGCTGATGTGTTCAAAACCAAAACAACCAGATATAAACTAATGCGCATGCATGATACATTTGACCCAACGTACGCCAACCCTCCGGATAATCACATTGGAAAGACGGGTCAATTAGTGAAGCATGTTCGAAAATCACTTCTGAGCACTGGCTCGAAAACATGCAACTTATGCAAGGCATCACCTCCACCTACCATCCAATGTGATGAGAGGGCTAATGCTAGAGGTCAAGCCAAGGTTATTACCTCCACCAATGATGAGGTCACCATCGGTGCCCCCCGCCACCATCCAACTGTTGCCAGCTACCAAGTCAGCATCCTCACCAGTCCTTGCTTCAGTTACTAATCCCTTTATGCCAGACTCAGCGTCTTCACTCAAATTAGGTTTGGTGTCAGCTTTCTCTTTGTCCACAGATATATTTCGGCGTCTTCACTCAAATTAGATTTGGTGTCAGCTTTCTCTTCCACATCTTTGTCCACAGACATATTAGAGCTCACATTTCTGGGACTAGAGGGCACTGGAAGCACAATGCCACCAGGTTCCTTCTCCAGTGGTGAGAGGATGGCGCTAGCATTAGCATCCTTCAGCGATGGGAATAAAGAAAAACCAAGGCGGGGTTCAGGTGGGGTGTGGCGCAGGTCGATGTGTGTGGCGCCTGCTGCTGAGAGGGTAGGGGGTGGGGTCCCGGGCTGATCTTCT